TTGATTTCCCGAAATAACTTGGCGTCATCAGCAAACATTTGAATGGAGGAGTGTACAACGTCAGACATGTCATTTATGAAACAAACAAACAATAGCGGGCCCAATACGAGGTCTGTCCAAAAAGAAACCGAACTTTTTAAAAAAATATTTATTGCTTTACTTACAACTTAATCAGACTTGTCTCCTTCAACGTACTTCCCTCCACTGTTGATATACCGCTCCCAAACGTTTTTTTCCAGTTCTGGAACGCGTCATGGAACGCGTTTTGAGGGATGGTGTGCAGGTCTCGTAGCGAATTTTCTTCTATTTCCTCTATCATTTGAAATCGGCTACCTTTTAGGGTGGATTTCATCTATGAGAAAAAAAAGTCCGCATGGGCCAAATCCGGAGAGTAGGGGGGCTGGGGGACGATAGTCGTCTCGTGCTTCGCCAAAAAGTCACGGATAAGGAGCAACGCGTGAACAGTTGCATTGTCATGGTGCAGCATCCAGGTCTTGTTTGTCCACGCCTCAGGCCTCTTCCTTTGCACTGCCTCCCTCAAACGCTTCAGGACCTCCAAGTAAAAATCTTTATTGACTGTCTGACCACGTGGAGCAACCTCAAGATGAACGACGCCCTTCCAATCAAAAAAGACGATCAACATCACCTCCACATTTGAGCGACTCTGACGTTCAGATTTGGGATCGTCTTCGGTGGATGTTCTTCCCCTTTTGAAACGCTGGTACCACACGTGACATTGCGTACGGCTCAAACAATCCTCCCCATAAGCCTGTTGCAACATTTGAAAAGTCTCTTTAAAAGTTTTTCCCAATTTGAAACAGAATTCCACGTCAACACGTTGCTCTTCAAGATCCTTCATTGTTCAACTTGCAACAAATCGCCAAGTGCACTAAACACACGTTCACTCGAGCACGTGTAGCTCGATGACTAATTGGCGTGGCGTGATGCGGCTAGTGTTAGACTAAAGGTCAAGGTCACCGCTACACAGTGCTCCCATCGCGAGCAAGCTGCGCCGGCTCGCTGGCTTGCTATTAAAAAAGTTTGGTTTCTTTTTGGACAGACCTCGTACACTGCCCTGTGGTACCCCTGCTTGTGACACGTACGGATGGGGGTACACGGCGGTCTCTTAAAAATATATACATTTCCGGTGGAACCGGTTATTAGGACATTTAAATATTTGTTTTCTTTATTATTTCATCTTAATTTACATAAATTGTATTTCAGAGACTTTTTCTATTCATATATAACTAGTCTAAACATTCGGGATAAGTCTTTCTGGTTCCTACCCACACCCGAGGACTTATCCCGAACTTTCCAATAATATTGTCAGACTACTAAATGGTAACCCGACGAAATTTGGTTTAAAAAATGGATTACGGCTCGGAGGGCGCTTTCGGGTTACTAATAAGTAAGTCAGTTACTCACTGACAACCAGCAATTCAGCCATACATGCTAAAACGCGTATCATTCCTGTCAATTTCATGTCCATGTTCTCCTAATCTATTGAGTGTGAGTAATTTTTTGGATAAGGTTTTTGTAGGGTTTGTTAGTAAATAAATAATAAAGCCCATTAAAACTAAAAAATACATAATAAAACCCAAAAATACCCCCCAAAAATCCGGTGGGCTGGGTTATATTTATTTTTTTTCAGCCCTGGTTTTCAGCTATTAAAACATCATCAACATGCCTTCTCTCCCATCGAGCAGAAGTGCCCAGCACCGAGAAGCACCCCAGCCCAACGCCTACCCCAGTCTACAGCCCACGTGTTGTTTTGGTTGGTCAACGTCTGGCTCAACGCTCTTTCGACTTCCGGTCAACAAATCTTGGCGGCTGCTCTGAGTGACCCACCGTGGACCCACCGTGTGACCCAGTGACCCGCCATGTGACCCAATGCACCTGGGTTACATCGGAAAGCTGTCCTCTGCCAACCAACCAAGTAGGCCGAATCTGCACTCCCCCAAGGACTCACTGAAAACTGTTGAAGAACGGTTTAATTGGACAACAAAGTATTGGAGACAACACGGTCACACCATTCAATTCCGAAAAGGTAAGAACCGTAATTTTATCAATTGTCAGACACCTGAGGTCTATGAAACACTTAGTACTGTTGGATTTGACGGGGTTGTTCTCGTGCCTCCTCTTGCTGATGCAGCGGAATGTTGCCACATCCTAGTTAAACAATTCCCCATATACGCTGAAGTCGTAGATGCTTGTAACTTTTATCCACGTATACTCAGTATACGTCGACACTACTGGGTGAAGACCCCACAAGCAGCTGTCATTGTTAAATGGAAGGGGAGGGAGTGCCCAACTACTGTTGAGGTCCACCCAGTCCTCTCTCCACTGTATGCAGAACCATATCACCCCGGGCCTGCTTTTTGTGTCGTCTGCTCCCATTGGGGTCACACCTTCACCGCCTGCTGCGGACGTGATCGTCCCAGATGTCGCTTCTGTTCACGTAACCATCACTCCTCCATCTGTGCCAAGAAAATCAAAGACCACCTCAATGGGTGTGGTGTGGGCTATGTTGTTGACCCCAGGTGTTGTAATTGTGGTGGCTGGCACAATGCTGACTCAAGGCAATGCCTCAAACGTCCGCTTGTCCCAGGAGAAAAGTCTCCCTGAAGGCTGCGTCAACCTCAACCCCTCCCCCCCCCAGCCTACCAGGCTGCATCCCTCTGTGTCCCCTCCTCTGACAACGCCTTCTTCAACAACACCTGCCCCTGCCTGGGCTCACCTGGCTGCAACACAGCAATCCCAGCCGTCTCCTAAGTCAACTACTACTGGGCCTCCTCCCTGTCGTTACTTTGACACTTTCAGGCCTTATGCTCCCACTGGTGCCCCCACACAACCCCCCCTCCGGTGACACGACACAGATCATATCACTCTTACACGAATTTACGAACCGTATTGAAACTCTTTGATACACTCTGTACCGCCATCTCCAACCTACACAGACTACCCCTGCCTTCAGCTGCTACCCAGTCACCCCCCCTCTTCTGGTTTGACACAAGCTGGTAGCCACCCTGTGTGCCCCTCTTGCCCACGGCCTACTCCACCGCTGCCAGGCATCACTGCTGACGTGGCACCTACCGAGCCTGCCCTGGTGTGCCCTGCTGACCCCGTCCACCCACCACAAGCCGCGCCTGCTCATAGACCCGAGGATATCAACCCCGGCTTCCCGTCCCCCACCGGCATACCGGCACCTGGCGCCCATCCACTCCAGTTCTCCACATCAATTGACCACCATGCAAACATGCTAGTAGACTACGTATCTACACCAAGAAGGATGTCCTCTACCAACCTCTCGACGTCCCCCTTGAAGCCGACACTACCGACGTACACGCCATCACAATCACAATAAAAGGTATGTCCCTCAGTATTGTCAGTGCCTATGGCCTGGCACTTGACATTATTAGGGACCTGCCATGCTTTGCCATAAACAGATAAATTGTACCGGGAATTTTCCCCCCACACACTCATCATTCTGCCACTTTATGTAACTTGCTGACAAAACCCATGACCCTTCAGGCTTTTATGCATGCTTCCCAGATGGGCGCTGTAAACGCTTCTGCGCTTCACCTTGCACAGGATGTAAGGGGGTGCCCAATAAAGTAGCCCCCTCGGGGGCAATCTAAAAAAATCTAATCTTCGACATCTCTAGGGCTGCAATCGATTCCTGCGATTTTGATGAGCTACCTTAGACTTGGTTCCCAATTTGGGAACTGATTCCCATGAAGCGATTCCACTAACACTACAGTAAGAGTGAGTTCCCGACCGTCCTACCCTGTCCTCCTGTGGCGTCTCACTGGTGTGTAGCCGTTGCGACAGACAGTGGCAGTGCCAGTGTACTCGTCAGTCGTCACTCCACTGCCAGTCCTTTCATCATTCATGTCAGAGGCCCCAGGGGCTCAGTGGGTGGGTGTCGAGCTCGATGCAAATGTAATTGAGTTCTAGTGCAACACTAGTACCTCTTTTTCTAGCTGGAGTGTATAGTTATACTATATGAATATGTAGAATGTTCTGCTTAATGTTCAAAGTTTATCACGAAAGAGTCCGAAAGTCTCTCTCTCTCTCTCTCTCTCTCTCTCTCTATCTCTCTCTCTCTCTCTCTCTCTCTCTCTCTCTCTCTCTCTCTCTCTCTCTCTCTCTCTCTCTCTCTCTCTCTCTCTCTCTCTCTCTCTCTCTCTCCTCTCTCTCTCTCTCTCTCTCTCTCTCTCTCTCTCTCTCTCTCTCTCTCTCTCTCTCTCTCTCTCTCTCTCTCTCACTCTCTCTCTCTCTCTCTCTCTCTCTCTCTCTCTCTCTCTCTCTCTCTCTCTCTCTCTCTCTCTCTCTCTCTCTCTCTCTCTCTCTCTCTCTCTCTCTCTCTCTCTCTCTCTCTCTCTCTCTCTCTCTCTCTCTCTCTCTCTCTCTCTCTCTCTCTCTCTCTCTCTCTCTCTCTCTCTCTACTCTCTCTCTCTCTCTCTCTCCTCTCTCTCTCTCTCTCTCTCTCTCTCTCTCTCTCTCTCTCTCTCTCTCTCTCTCTCTCTCTCTCTCTCTCTCTCTCTCCTCTCTCTCTCTCTCTCTCTCTCTCTCTCTCTCTCTCTCTCTCTCTCTCTCTCTCTCTCTCTCTCTCTCTCTCTCTCTCTCTCTCTCTCTCTCTCTCTCTCTCTCTCTCTCTCTCTCTCTCTCTCTCTCTCTCTCTCTCTCTCTCTCTCTCTCTCTCTCTCTCTCTCTCTCTCTCTCTCTCTCTCAAGATTTTATTCAACTTGATTTGGATACTCGGAATAAAGTGGTTCATTTCCAAGTTAGCCAGTTAGTCGCAATTTCCTAGCATCTTTGGTTTTTTTTTTCAGGCCATTATTATGGCGTCTAAAAGAACAAGGACGAACCCTATGTGGACTTGCATGAAAAAAATTGACCCAGAAGTGTTGTGTGTGTCCGCTGTAAAAATAGCTTCAAATACTGCGGTAGCACTTCATCCTTGACAAAACATATACGCACCAAACATCCAACAGAGTATGCCGAACTCCAAGAAGAGCAAGAATGGCAAGTGCTGGAACTGGCAGGAAAATCAAGCAAAAAAGAAACCATGAAACAACCCAGTTTGTTTGAAACAATCAATAAGAAGAAAACTTACAAAGCAGATTCTTCTAGGAATTGGACCAAATTGTCATGCAAATGATTGTCCAAAATCTACAACCGTTTTCAGTGGTGGATGACAAAGGGTTTAAACGTCTTGTCAGTGCATTGGATCCACGATATGAACTCCCTAGTCGGCGAGAATTAACAAGAACCCACCTTCCCAACATTTACGACCAGGAAGTTAAAAGAGTAAAGAAAGAGTTGGAGAATACAAATGCTGTCAGTGAGACAGACATATGGACGTCTAGAGCTACAAAAGGATTCATCACAGTAACAGCTCACTTCATTTCGCCGACATGGGAATTAAAGTCGGTGGTACTCGAGACAATTAGGATGCAGGAAGCACGCACTGCAGCTAATATTGCTGAGGAATTAACAACCACTTGTAACAACCGGAACATTTTGAACAAAGTCTGCTCTGTTGTTACAGACAATGCAGCCAATATAACTTCAGCTGTGAACAACATCATGAAGCTACGTCATCTACCATGTTTCGCACACACACTGAATTTGGTTGCAAGAGATTCTATTGAAAACACTGAGGAAGTTAAACATTTGCAAGAGAAAGTCAAACAGATCGTCACCTACTTTCATCACAGAGTAAAGGCATCAGATAAATTGAGTAAGCTTCAAGAACATCATGGTGTACCTGTCAAGAAACTTATCCAAGATGTTGAAACAAGGTGGAATTCGACCTACTACATGATGCAGCGCTTCGTACAAGAAAGCCAGCTAATTACCACTACTCTCTACTTGACGGGAAGAAATGACATGTGTCTGAATAACGAAGAACTGGAACTGATAACCAAGACTGTGGCTGTTCTCGAGCCATTTGAGCAGGCTACAAGAGAGATGTCAGCAGACAAATTCACCTCATTATCAAAAATAATTCCTATGGTTAAGGGATTACAAGACCATATGCACTCCAGCGAGGACAAGGAAGTTCATCAGCTGTACAGAACATTTCCTCTTGGCATGGAACCCCTTCAGCAAATGACAAGAAAATTTCACACTATGGAAGGAAGTTTTTTGTAGGAGCAGCAAGCTTATTGGATCCTAGATTAAAAAAAAGTGCATTTTGCAGATCTTACGAATGTGAAGATAATTGAGGAACGTTTAGTTAGCTGTATGCGATGTACAGAAACAACAGAAGTTCAAAAACAATCTACAATCATGTCAGTACAAGCAGAGTCCCCAGGTTCCTCACAAACTGTTACAACACAACCAAAGAAAATCTCACTCTGGGCTAAATTCGATGCCAAGGTTGAAAACACACCCGTCTACAGGGCCTTATATTAAAATGAGAAGATATATGGAAGAATCGCCAATTCCAAGAAAAGAAGATCCGCTAGAATGGTGGAAAAAACATGCCGCACTTTGCTCAAAACTCCATGAACAAGCAAAAATGTTCCTCTGCTCCCCAGCATCATCAGTGCCCTCAGAAAGGCTTTTTTTCTAAGGCTGGCGAACTAGTGTCCCAAAGAACATAAGAATATAAGAACATAAGAATGGAGGAAACTGCAGCGGGCCTATTGGCCCATACTGGGCAGTCCCGTTTACACCCAACCCCTATTGCTCATATAAGCATCCAACATGTGTTTGAAGCTATTCAGCGTATTCGAGTTAATAATGATATTTGGTAACTTGTTCCATTCATCCACTACTCTGTTTCCAAACCAGTGTTTACCTATTTCGCGCCTAAATCAAAATTTGTCTAATTTAAAACCATCGTTACGAGTTCGCTCCTGGTTGGATAGTTTGAGTACCTTTGTAATGTCCCCTTTGTTTAGCCCTGACTTCCATTTATACACCTCTATCAGGTCGCCCCTCGCTCTACGTCTCTCGAGGGAGTGCAAATTATGATGCTTTAACCTGTCTCTATACTCAAGGTTCCTAATGCCCGGGATTAGTCTTGTCATTCTCCTCTGAATTCTTTCCAAGGATTCTATATCTATTCTGTAATACGGTGACCAAAACTGAACTGCGTAATCCAGGTGTGGTCTCACAAGCCCAAGATACAGTTTTAGGATGACCTCGCTAGTCTTGTAACTAACACTCCTTTGTATGAACCCAAGTACTTTATTAGCCTTGTTACGAGCAAAAACATTGTTTACTTGGCTTAAAATTCCTACTTATCATTACTCATAAATCTCTTTCGCAGTCGGATTTCTCTATGGCATCGTTGTTCATCTGGTATCCGGTTTCCCTGATTACATCTCCTATACTGAGTACTTTACATTTGTCCATGTTGAATTTCATCTGCCATTTTTCAGACCATTCGAAAAAATTTTTTAGATCTTCCTGTAGTTTTGCCGAGACCTCATCAGATTTAATAACACGTCCTATTTTAGTGTCATCAGCAAATTTACTTATGTTGCTGTCTATGCCGATATCTATGTCGTTTATGTATATAATATATAATAATGGTCCAAGTACTGAGCCTTGGGGAACTCCACTAGTGACGTTGCTCCAATGGGATTTAGTGCAGTTAATGCTCGCTCGCTGTTTCCTGTCCTGTAACCACTCCCTAATCCATTTAAGGATATTACCTTTGATGCCATGTGCTTCTATCTTTCTAATTAGTCTTTCGTGGGGGACTCTGTCGAAGGCTTTGCTAAAGTCGAGATATACCACATCATAATCGTGCCCCTCGTCCACGGATTCGAAAACTGATGCCATTGAGAAATCCGACTGCGAGAGAGATTTAGGAGTAATGATAGTAGGAACCTTAAGCCAAGTAAGCATTGTGTTTTTGCTCGTAACAAGGCTAATAAAGTACTTGGGTTCATACAAAGGAGTGTTAGTTACAAGACTAGCGAGGTCATCCTAAAACTGTATCTTGCGCTTGTGAGACCACACCTGGATTACGCAGTTCAGTTCTGGTCACCGTATTACAGAATAGATATAGAATCCTTGGAAAGAATTCAGAGGAGAATGACAAGACTAATCCCGGGCATTAGGAACCTTGAGTATAGAGACAGGTTAAAGCATCTTAATTTGCACTCCCTCGAGAGACGTAGAGCGAGGGGCGACCTGATAGACGTTTATAAATGGAAGTCAGGGATAAACAAAGGGGACATTACAAAGGTACTCAAACTATCCAACCAGGAGCGAACTCATAACAGTGGTTTTAAATTAGACAAATTTAGATTTAGGTGCGAAATAAGTAAACACTGGTTTGGAAACAGGGTAATGGATGAATGGAACAAGTTACCAAATATCATCATTAACGCTGGATAGCTTCAAACATAGGTTCAATGCTTATATGAGCAATCGGGGTTGGGTGTAAACGGGACTGCCCAGTATGGGCCAACAGGCCCGCTGCAGTTTCCTCCATTCTTATATTCTTATGTTCCTATAAGCTTCTCAAGAAATACAGTTGCAGAAAGAATTGGTGAAAATTTAGAGAATTTTAACAGTCAACTCAAAGACAAAGTTAAGTCCTTTACTGCATTTTCAGTTGCAATTGGTGAAAGTACCGATGTAAGTGATGTAGCACAACTTGCAGTTTTTATACATAGTGTGGATGAAAATATGCAGGTAACAGAAGAATTTGTGAAACTGGTACCAATGAAAGAAACGACAACAGGTGATGACATCTTTGTGGGTTTGGTAGGGGCACTGGATAAATTAGGTGCTGACTGGGCACAAACTGTGAGTCTGGCTATAGATGGAGCACCGCAAATGGTGGGTAGAAAAGCTGGCGTGGCAACAAAATTAAAGGAAAAACTAATAGCTGTGAACCCGCACCATCAAATTCATAATGTGCATTGTATTATACATAAAGAAGTGTTGTGTAGTAAAATATTAAAGATGGATAATGTCATGGATGTTATTATATGGACAGTGAACTTCATACGCACGCGAGGTCTAAACCACAGACAGTTCAACTGCTTATTGGAGGAAAATGAGAACACACAGGGACTGCCATTTCACACTGATGTTCACTGGTTAAGTCGGGGAGTCGTACTGAAGCGATTTTATGAATTGCTCAGTAAAATGCAGATGTTTATGGAACAGAAAGGAAGGGATGTGCATGAACTGAAAGATAATGAATAGGTTCAAGATCTAACTTTCATGGTGGATATTACAGAACACTTAAATTACGTGAATACAAAGATGCAAGGACGCAATAAATTGGTGACAGAGTTTTAGGACTGCATTCGTGCCTTTGAGATGAAACTTCAGCTTTTTTGAACGGCAACTATTAGAGAGTAATCTTTCTCACTTTCCGACCTTGAAGTCCCTGCAAGGCGCACCTGAGTTTTATGCTGATATCAACACAAAAAAAGTACTGCATCAAGATTTCCAAATTAATGAATGAGTTCCAAGAAAAATTTGCTGACTTTAAAACACTTGAGAAGGATTTTTCATTTCTCGGGACCCATTCTCTGTTGGTGTTAATGAGGTACCAGAACATCTTCAGTTAGAATTAATTGAGCTCCAGTGTGATTCTGTGTTGAAGAACAAGTTTTCAAGTGTTGGTGTTGGCACATTTTATCAATATTTTGGACCAAATTATGCCAGGATTAAATGTTTTGCCTCAAAGATTATGTCAATGTTCGGAAGTACATATGTCTGTGAACAACTCTTGTCTGTGATGAAATTGAACAAGTCTCGGCTTCGGTCTCAACTTACTGATGCGCACCTAAATTCAATACTGATGGTTGCTACAGCTCAGTCGTGAGTGCCAAACTTTGATGCACTGGTCCATACCAAGAGGTGCCAATTATCAGGAAGCAGCAGTAGCAAACAATATGATTGATCAAGGTAAGTAAACACTTGATTTGTTTGTTTGTTTTTAAGGGTTTCGCACGAGCGCAGATTAAATCCACCTTTCTTATTTTGTCGTACTACTCACCTAAGAGGTGATTGAGAAGTGCTCATAATTATGTTACTTGACCCGCATACTGTGTACTCATATTAAATCTGGCCCGCCTTGGCAAATGAGTTTGACACCCCTGATTTAGACCATCATTTTTATCGGAAATCACTAGTTTTGGGTTACTGCCCCTCTTTATCGGTGTATGTTTAGCTAATTTTATAACTTATAATATAACTTATCATACCCTAACCTAACCTAACCTAACATATGATCAGTATTTTCTTATACCATCGAAAATTTTGGCTACAAAAATCCTGTAGAGATAATGTGTCTTGTTGTTTAAAGTACTTAATCCCATAGTTAGAATCTTAAGGTTCCCTAGATGACCAAAACCAAAATAATATCAATATTGTTTGGAATGTTTATACTATGAAATATGTAGTATGGGCAGCTAATATCCATTGAATTAGTTAATGTGCTTATTAATATGCATATATTCATAACAGTATTACTGTGTTGCACAGTAAAGCACAATTAATTCAATTTAATTTCAATTTCAATTGTTTATTCCTTGATAGAGGAAGCGGGATCCTAGTGCTGTCACTAGGTACCCCTGTACAATAACACCAGAAGCATCTGGCAAGTGTGACAAGTATATACAGTATAAATAATATAAAGGAGCTTACTAAAGCCTGAAGAAGGAAGGATATTCCTTTAACACATAATCAATATTATTTACAAAATATCTTGTCAGTATGGGGAGGATCATCGTGTCTCCGTTTTGGATGAAGATTGAAGTCACATTAAGATAAAGAGACCTCTCATGTTTTTAGTGCTTTTGAAGAAGTGTCAATGGCCGAAAGTTTTACAACAGGGCTCTAATATTCAACATGTCAGTGCACATCAAATAAAGAGAGAACGTTGTCAGTCTGCAAACTTGGCTTCTCTATTTCCACAAATATGAAGGTACTGACGAGACTGTCCGGAAAGAAAAAAATACCACTCAGTTATGCTGGGCGACGACCATACCTACATGGATATGAAGAATACACATATTGTTTATCTCAACTGCATAAGAAGCAAGGAATGTATACATAGGACATAGGACATTAGCAATGCATGCCCAATAAAAACATGATAAGTACAAGGAACAAAGCAAGAAAAGAACGAGACAAAGAGATCGACATCGTCGAAATAGCAAGAAGCGGTCCAAATATGAACCAGAATCCACCACTAAACCTAAGTGAGCAATACGCAGTAAAATGACAGTTAGTATGATCATGCACATTTGCACAATGTCAGCCTTCGGATCATATAATGAGAATTAAGAAAATTTTAAATTAGATAACCTACAGGGGCCGTCTGGAAAGATCACAATCCGAAAAAAAACTAGCTGAGCAACATGTGCAAGCGAACTGGAAAAGAATAGCCATCTAGACGAACAAAGGTTTGAGCAGGAGCAGCAGCTGATACTGAGAACTGGCGCTGATGAGATCCCAGACAAATGACTAAATGACAAAGAGATGGAAATAACAAAAGGACAGACTATAAGATATAGGAAGTAGGAGGAGAAGATAGATGAAACTGATCACAATACTAGCCTGAATCTGCTGAAAATTGGATTAAAGAATTAT